GACGCGCTCGCTTCATTGCCAAACATTAAAAGAGTTGTCAAATACCAAATACCTTTAAAGGTGGCTTTCGGGATTATAATCTTGAATTCCTTTTTCTCAGCCTTTTTGAGAACTGATAAGAACTATAAAAAAATAGTAAAAAAGGGAAGCATCAGTTACAAATATCGCAGCTGATAGCAGAATGTCAGTCAAATTTGTCTGTGTGCGTTGTTAACCACAGTAGATCGAATTTTCACCGGTTCAAATTTCTTCTATCCTGCACGAATTACCATAAATTTATGTAACTACTAAATATCATAACAATAGCGAAACTTGAAAGAAGTGGATTTTCCTTGCGAATTGCCCTCCCCTTTCTTTGCTCATTCATCCTGTTCACTCGGCGTTTTGCGACTTTTTGTCGTATGTTACCAAACTTAAACAACTTCCCGCGTATGTCACAGGTCTGGCCAAAGAAATTCAAAACGATGTCAACTCGCTGAAATCTTCCTCTGTACTCTGTCGAATGAATCAATGGTGGCAAGTCGAAAACGCGAAAAGTACCCCGCTAGTGGTGTGTGAGAAATTTTATACCTTCAAAGTAACCTGTTGTTACTTTAAGCTATCCAAAGAGATGAGATTGAAAATATACCCTTACCTTGGGTAGAGGTTTCTTTCTTTCCAATTTTACAACACAACTGAAATGAAACACTTGTCACAGTCCTTTCAGTCAAAATCACGGATTTGATGAAGAATACGATCCAGCAGAGTTCTTTCTCCTGTTAGCAATTGAGAAAGATGCATAAAGTAAAGTTTTTGTGTTAGAAAGTAAAACTTTTCTTTTATAATTAGAGGTTAAAAAGACGGCAGGTGCTGTTTATTACACTGCTTTTAACTATAGATTGAAGACAGTTAATGTACAATTATAATAGAATTTGTCTTTCTGCGTTATTAAGGATATATTTTAAACAATCAACCTTTTAATTTTACATAAATCACCAATCATTTCCGTTAAATATTCAATTTCCATGGTGCCATATACTTCCATTACCGAAACGTAATAATGCTAAGGCAACCTATAGGCTACATGAAAGACGCTGAAGATATATGGAGCAAAGACGGAAGAACCTCATTAATTTGCTACGTCAAGTCTCGTAGGCGGCGACAGCAGGGAGCACAAAAAACCATACCCCACCTCCGCCCTTTACGATCCTGTCACGGCGAATTATGTCATATCCAGGGATGTGGACTTCATCATCACTTGCATTTTTAATGAGTTTGGTCTCGTTAATTGACAAAACATGTGTGTCATTACTTGCTAAAAGTACCCTAAGCTCGTCTATGCGAGTTGTCAACTTCTCGGGTGAATTAAGGAATGGGTCTCTTGAAATTTGTAGGGGGGTGGTCTAGTTTAAAGGGGATTTAACTTTTCGACTTGAAACTTTGCATGCGGTAAATACTTCTTAAAAAATGTTTTTATCCGTTGTCACTAATGAGCTATCTTAGTCACGTGACTTGTCACGCCGATTTTTTTGCCATTTAGTTCGGTCCAATTTTACGACATTTTGCAAATACTAGCTGTGATTTATTTTGCCTTCTTTCAATGACTATTAACACAAGGTTTATGGAATTAATCGGGCTTTTTCAAAATTATTTGTTTTGCGTGAACTATAACGTTTCCAGTTGAGAGTGGACTGGGCCGAGGAGAAAACATTTTGATAATTGCATAGGAATAAAATATTTTGCAATTCCCCGTTTAATTTGACTCATTTGACTTTAAACTTAACGCTATGGAAAAATAAACTGGAGCTTCAACAGTCATTTTCATAGTGTAATCTAGAAATACTAAATTTTGCATAATTATGGGCGTGGCTGGTCACGTGACCTTAATAGGCTCAGTGTGAGGTCCAAAAATGGTTCCAATGTTAAGCACATATGTTTAAGTAAAAATGAAAAGAGATGGCAGACAAAACAAGAAAAAATGATAAAAGCCCAAAATGAAGCGAGGAGCTTAATTGTTGGTATTAAGAGAAGCTAATTTCAAACCACGCTTAAGGGGTAAAATTTGGGTAGGGTCTGCACCCTCATCATTTGATACACTAGAACTTCTAATTTTGGTTTTAACCCTCTCCATTCGCAAGGTATTCGAGGAAAGCACATTGCTCCAACTTAGATTTTTTTGAAAATTCTTAAAAAATAGCTCGTTACCTATTAAGCTGGAGACCACCTTTGTTTAAACCACTGTGCGTGATGTTTGGATGGCGAATTAGGTTCCACGCGTTTGTTACCCTCCATAAAATTCAATTAGTGAAAGGTACCCCTTTTCAAGAGGAGCCTCCTCGTATAGGCCATTATAGGGACTATCCCCGGGGAGGGGAGGCTGTGAGCCCTACTTTTTGCAGTGATTTTGAAAAAGAGTCTCTTAAAAAATAGCTGAATGCCAGTGACCTTTGAACAATTACATCGATTCTGTTCTAAGCCGTCCGAAAACAGTCTGAGGAACACGTTGATGCAAAATCAACTTCACCAGTCTACAGGGACGATCCATCGCTGAAAGGGAAAGACGAACAACTGTCGAAGAAAGCTGCATTTCACTAAAAACTTTGTTCTTCAACCTGAGCCTCAACGATAAATGGCTAACTGTTTTAAATCGAATAGGATTGCCCCTACGATAAAGAGCGTAGTTGCCCGCGTCATTTAAATGAACGCCATCCCTGCATAAAACAGGAACAGATTAAGTTTGGAGCTCTCTATGACTCCACGATTCGGCATAAGGGAGTGGTTCTAGAACCACTTCTAGATATTTGTGGTTGAAATCGAGGACGTGTGGAGGCATTAATAGAGCACCAGTAGATTACTAGGCATGCGATTATAAAATGCGGCAGTACGGTATCGCCAAACCTCTTGAAACCTCTTTTGTGGAGGTTTTCTGTAGCAGCAAATCTTGTGTAGATCCTATAAAATGCGGCCTCAAAAATAAAAGTTACTGGCAGATGTTAATGCCTCATACTTATGGATGTTTGCAAGAGGAACTCTGGAGAAAGCATCATTTTGTTAGATGCTTGATAATCTTCTTCTACTCGAAGCATTTAAAAAGTGTAAATTGAAATTAATTTTGTTCTTGTAAAGTTGTTTTAGAGACACTCTTTTAGGCTCAGAATCAACTCTTTTTTAAAATGTCGTCCTATAATTACAAATACTCGTAATGGAGGGCTGTGATGATTTTAAGGGGAGTTATGGTTATATAAACAAGGTACAAGGGGAAAGAGATATGCCTGTTCTACATGAAACTATTTCCACAATAATGTTACACATCAAGAGATGACAGCCACCTTGTAAAATTCATACAAGGTATGTGTCAAATAAATTTCTTACACTTACTTGTAACAGAAGATATGTATTTTTATCTTTTATGAATAAAGACTTTATTATTATTATTATTATTATTTTTTATTATTATTATTATTAAAGTGTTTGGTTGTTTTTAATAACGTTTGTTATTACTATTATTATTTTTTTAATAATTAAAACCTCTTTGACATTAAATAACTAATTCTTGGGAAGTTTCCCGTGGCTAGCACGATTAAGCAACCTGCAGGCTAATTAGGGTTTAGGCTACTTTAATAAGGACTTTCTTTAATTCGAAGAACCATTTGCCGACGAATAAGTACATAAAACCTTTCTGTGTTTTCCCGTTTTTATGCATATGTTGTAGTTAACTTTTTATCCCAGGTAATTTTTGTTTTTCTTTTGTTTTGGGTATGGTAATGTATGCTGATGAAGGAGAAACAAAAGAAAAAGAAACATTACCTAAGATAAAAAGTTAACTACAACATATATTAAAATAGTTAAGAAAATATAGGGTAGTTTTCCTAGGATGAGAAAATATTGTTTGAAACAAAATGTCTGAACAATGAATATCTGTCCGACATCATAATTTAATGTTTGGCACTTTGTTTCCCTATAGATCAAGGAGATTTATGAACAGCAGCTGCAAGAGCCTTAGTCTCCGCTTTGTGAACAAATCTACTTTTTTTCAAATTCAGTAGCCTACGGGGGTAAACATACTCAGGATCATAACTCGGAAAGGCATCTTAATTCAGGTATAATGTAAATTAACAAGGTTTTATGTTATTGTATTGAAACATTTGAAGAAAAAGAAACATCACCCGAGTAAAGGGTGCGCTTAGAATCGCATCTCGTCAGGCAGTTAAATTTTAAAAAATACTCCAGCTCCAGACGAAAATGCATAAATATAATAACAAAATGTATTTACGTAGGGAAGATTTCAATTTAGTAGTGGCTAAGTATCTAAACCAGTATTTCTTTTCAAAGACTTGATGTTGCAAATAAAGTACTGTCATATTAGTCTTAGGCAAATTTAGAACAGTTTAAGCGAGTTCTGTCGAGCAAAATGTTTTTTTTAAAGAATATATTTGATGGAAATCGAATAAAAGCCAGAGTGAATATTTGTAATCATAAGCATGGCTGAACAAAACAGTGTTGGCTAGGCGGTATATATACTTACTGTATGCTTTATGCTTTTAATCGCAAATTAGACTCAAATTAATGTGTGCCGTTCGTGGTTTGATGCGGCTGTAGATATGTGCTTGCATGTGCAGGACGTATGTAAAATTATATTCTTTATGTGCGCAATTGTAATTGAACAGGCGCACCCGACGACCTTCTTCGCTGCAATAACTGCTGGAAGGAGCAGATATATTGCCAAGAAATTTCTAAACCTCAAAAAAGGCCAACAATCGTTCCTTTCTTCTAAAATATGCGGAGTTTTCAGCAAACTTACAGAACTTGTGTTTTTCAAATTCTAACATATAGATTTAACTAGGGCTAAAAAGCGAAGCTCCCATTGATAAATATATAATTTAAATCAAACATTAAACTTGTAATCCACAAATCAGTTAACTTAAGGGCACATTCATGTGAGCAGTAATACTAGTCTGTTTACGGCACATTGTTATGCAAATGAGGTTAGTCGCCATACAAACCATTCTAATTTTGGAATGATGAAAGTCAACAGCGGACACCATAGCGGACACCCTAATCGCAACATCCGTTACTATGACAGCGAAGGGAATGATTATGACAAAAAAGAAGGTGGCGAACCAATTTTGGGCGAATTGCCTTACCCTAATAGGTCGAGTGCAGTGCTTAGGGTTAAATCAGTCGAGTGCAGTGCTTAGGGTTTAATCAGTCAAGTGCAGTACTTAGGGCTAAATCAGTCGAGTGCAGTGCTTAGGGTTAAATCAGTCGAGTGCAGTGGTTAGGGTTAAATCAGTCGAGCGCAGTGCTTAGGGCTAAATCAGTCGAGCGCAGTGCTTAGGGCTAAATCAGTCAAGGGCAGTGCTTAGGGCTAAATCAGTCGAGGGCAGTGTTTAGGGCTAAATCAGTCGAGGGCTGTGGTAACTTATCCTCGCTTGAAGTCACAGTTGAGTGGATATAGTAATGAAACAGGTTTAAGTTCGAGAGACCATAGTGACGTCACCCACCATTTGCATATTCAGCAGAAATTGTTTCTATTTTTAGACGATGACGTCATTATTTTGACTAGAACAGGTATAAAAGACGGATATCAACCATGAAAAATCATTTGAGATCATTGTGTTCTTGTGTAAAGATCGATCATGTGCAAAGCAACGTATCCACGAGCTTGTCCTACATGCGGGAAGACAATCAAGAACAGGGGAAATTTCTTTCGTCATAAGAAACGTTGTGGGACTTCAGAGCATCGCGTTCAATGTCTACACTGTCATAAGACATACTCAAGAAAAGACGATTTGAAGAAACATGTTCGTAAGGTCCATTCCGAAGCAGGAAAGCGAAAAGCAGAAGAGTCGGCTGAACTATTACGCCTTGAGTTATTGCATTCAGACAAAGTTCCAACACTAGTCAGTGATGAAAGTCAGCAGGGTGGCGCTGTGAGTACTCGAAGTATGAAAAAAGACCCCGAGAGTGTAAAGGAGGACCTAAAACCTATGAAAGACGAAACACGGGCAGTTAAAAGAAAA